GCCTTGATGAGAAGTCTGGTGACACAGGAAGGATACCGTCACAATCAAACTGTGTTTAGAATTACATTTATTAGAGCCTGAATGAGATATTACTTCGATACCCTGTGTTGTGGGAATTTTCAAACAGCTATGGGATATTAGAAACAAATTTCCAAACTATATTGGGTGAAAATGCTTCGAACATTTTAATTTTTGACCTATCTTGACTTCATAAAGCTATTTATGCAATGAAAGGCTTGAAGGAGTATTTTCAGTATATTTCTTTTTATTCACTCATCTGGATGAATTCCAGTCTAATATTTTTTGCTGTTTCCCCTCCAGGTATCATATGTATGGTACTAACGTTTATCGCTTCAGTATTAAAATCACGAATAGCAATAACATGGAAAAGACTGTTTTCCAGAGAGAAGGAAACTATGGAAACAACTGGAATTATGGACAAGTAACCTTAAATGAAACATCTAATTTTAAGGTTTGTTTAGATATTAATGTTATTACTTTTAGCTAACTCTCACTTTATTTTCCAACAACTTTTGGAACATGTTTGCAATATTCTGCATCTGCAGAAGTAATATCCTCTGTTTTTCCACTAATACTTATTGTCAAATACTTATTAATATGCAGAAGACTGGATCTTCAGAACTAGTCTGTGCATTTTCTAGAGTTTAAATTGTTCTTATTGATATAGTAGCACAGCGAGACTTACTGCTGACTAAGGACAGCCAACTTTATCTCTAAAGAAAGCTCTTTGTCACAACAAGAGAAATCTGAGGATGTATCTAAATCTGATTATAAATCGAAATACCTTGTAAATGATCAAAATATGAAATATTTGTCCCTAATAAGATTCAAAGCAGAAACTTGAGATTCCCAAATAGACCATCCAATTAAGTACATAATTACAAATTGGAATTTACTTTCAAAAGGATTTTTTTATATCCAGCTGGATAAAAGAATGACTGTACTTACATCATAAATCAAAAAATTATTCTATAAAGCTATATCTACACTACGCACATTGATGCTGTTGCAGTCGATCTTCCAGGGTTCAAATTAGCGAGGGCACTGAGAGGGCACTCCTGTTGGTGCTAGTAGTCCTGCTCTTCATGAGGACTAAGGGAAGCCAATGGGAGTGTTCGCTCCCATCAATTTTCTGCTGTATGGACAGCTTGAAAACACTATTTAAGGTCTTACTCTAGCTGTGTAGTTAACGCAGCTAGAGTTGCATATTTTAAGTCGACTTTTCCCTTCAGTGTAGACATGGCCTTTGAGAACTACAGTTGGCAATTCCTTCAGCTATTCTGGATTGAACAGCAAATTCATTCCATAAGTATTAGGGATGACCCATCTAGTTGTGGTGGTGAAGATGAGCGGTCGTTCGAACAAAACTGCTGCCAGAGAGGAATGCTAAGGACTGCAATTACCATTTAGCAAACATATGCTTCTGTAGAATAGGTATGGTCTGTTTTCAGGAAAGCTGGGTTTCCTTATAACACCAAGAAGAATATCTCATTTGGCTGTTTAGATCACCATCATTTAATGTTTGGTAATAGGTCTGCTGCACATTAATAGTAAGTCTGAGGTACAATAACAATAGATTCTCTTCTGTTTAAATTAATGCAGCTCTTTAGCAATCAAGGGAGCTAAGTCAATCAAAGTCAGCAGAGATTTTGAACATAGTAATTTCAGATTCTCTATGGGGAAACTTCATAATAATAGATAATAAGCTTGTATTGTGTATTCAGTGACATAACTCATTTGATACGTAGGGGTAAATAAGTAGATCTCTCCATTTCTAAGCATGAACAACAATTTACTCTTGTGTAGTACTGTTTCACAAAGTTTTCTAGCAGGGAATTATCTCTTGCCATTAGTGAACCACTTAGAATGGAAGACAGAGCAGCAATTACAGTAGAAATTTAAACAAAAAACACATGAAAGAAAGGGAAATTTATTCAGAAAGAACATTTGGTTAGATAATTTACCATTATATTCTAAATTTGTGTTTTCCATTAATTTCAGGTGATTTTTGATGCATTTAAAAACCCAGGTCTGAGTGATATTGCTCTAGACGACATTGGCCTGACAAGTGGAAAGTGTAAGGAAAGTATTTATCCAGAGCCAACTGTAGTTCCAACAACCACTACTCCATCTCCACTTCCCAGTAAGTCAGTTTAAAAGTAAAGTATATATTTACTTTCTATGAATATATTTATCTTAAAACATTTTCAGCTGCTTAATTACTTAGATGTGTGTCTGTAGTTACAAAGTAAGGATCAAAATCTAAGCGGGCATGTATCAAAGCACTGTGGACATGCATAGCAATACACTAATTTAAACTAGTTGAGGATGAGGACCTAGATTTTGAAAGTACAGGCAGTCCCCGACTTACGCGGATCCGACTTATGTCGAATCCGCACTTACGAACGGGGCTTTTCTCGCCCCGGAGCTCACAGGCGGCGGGTCGCCACCCGTGTCCTCCGAGGTGAGAAAAGCTTCTCCTGGTCTCCCTGGTCTGCTGGGGGGCGGGGGGGCCAGCAAAGCCGCTGGTACCTTACTTTAAGTGATAGTAAGGTGAAGCAGTATACCAAATTTGGTGGTCCTACCTCTAATCGTTTAGGAGGATTTCTTGAACAGACAGACAGACACAAAGATAAACTCTCTCAAATATATAATAGATTAGAATGTCCTTCAACATTCTTTTGCATTATTTAAAAAAAAAACTGGTGGAAGTTCACTCGTGTGCTTCAATGTCTAAGACTTTCGACTTCTTATGCAGCTCAAATGGAAAAGGGAGATTTCAAGTTGAAATTAGGATAGCTTCACTCTCCTCCAAGAGCCAAGAATGAACCATATTTTCACTCAAATTTCCAGTGAACATAATATTGCAGGTTGAAGACCCAGAAACCCTTGGAAACTGACTGGTCCCAAACAAGGGGGCTGTGTCTACACAGCCCTATTAAAACACAGATGTGCATACATACTCAGATCTCCATGAAATTGTAGTCACATAATCCCTTATGATATCAGTGTGTGGCATGGCAAAACTATCTAGTCACTCTGTATTACTTTCAAATATAAACTGTAATATAAACATTAAAATACATTTTCAGGAAACCTCAATTTCTACATATTGTTGAGACAAGATTTGAGTCCTTAAATCTTAAAATCTTAAGGTGAGGCTTAAAATTTGATACAGGCAGTCCCCGGGTTACGTACAAAATAGGGACTGTAGGTTTGTTCTTAAGTTGAATCTGTATGTAAGTCGGAACTGGCATCAGCCACTGCTGAAACTGATCAGTTTCAACCGCGGCTGAATCTGGATGCCAGTTCTGACTTACATACAGATTCAACTTAAGAACAAACCTACAGTCCCTATTTTGTACGTAACCCGGGGACTGCCTGTATCAAATTTTAAGCCTCACCTTAAGATTTTAAGATTTAAGGACTCAAATCTTGTCTCAACAATATGTAGAAATTGAGGTTTCCTGAAAATGTATTTTAATGTTTATATTACAGTTTATATTTGAAAGTAATACAGAGTGACTAGATAGTTTTGCCATGCCACACACTGATATCATAAGGGATTATGTGACTACAATTTCATGGAGATCTGAGTATGTATGCACATCTGTGTTTTAATAGGGCTGTGTAGACACAGCCCCCTTGTTTGGGACCAGTCAGTTTCCAAGGGTTTCTGGGTCTTCAACCTGCAATATTATGTTCACTGGAAATTTGAGTGAAAATATGGTTCATTCTTGGCTCTTGGAGGAGAGTGAAGCTATCCTAATTTCAACTTGAAATCTCCCTTTTCCATTTGAGCTGCATAAGAAGTCGAAAGTCTTAGACATTGAAGCACACGAGTGAACTTCCACCAGTTTTTTTTTTAAATAATGCAAAAGAATGTTGAAGGACATTCTAATCTATTATATATTTGAGAGAGTTTATCTTTGTGTCTGTCTGTCTGTTCAAGAAATCCTCCTAAACGATTAGAGGTAGGACCACCAAATTTGGTATACTGCTTCACCTTACTATCACTTAAAGTAAGGTAAGGGTTTGGCTGTGCCAGGAAAGTGAGATGTTCCTAGAATGGAGCTCAGAAAACCATACAGAAAAGAGACAGAATCACCATACAAATGAAATGGGCTGGCTGTCCCCCCATCTGAGACTACCTCAACCCTGAGCCTCACCCCCTCAAACAGCCTGTAAGGAGGGCAGAGGGGGCTAAAGCTTCCCCGCCCTGACTTGTATAGGAAAATTGTTGGCTGTTTCCCTTCATCTGTGAGTGAGGGAAAAGTGTAATTTGCTGCATACCTCACTCTGCTTGGGGGGCATAAGGAGCAGATGAATCTGGACCTGTTCCAGCCAGGAGACATACACCTTCCCTGGTAGAGCCTATTAGAGCTGCAGCAGCCATGGAGGTGCTTCTTATCTGGCCCCAAGCTGCTGTGGTGAGAGAGGGCGGGGGTAGTCCTTTCTTCCTGGGGCAGCTCCCATACAGAACCCTCTTCCCCATACCCAACCCAGAGCAATTATTTAAATGAAGCATTTACATTTTCATTTTATTCTCCAAAAAACAAAAATTAATTGAGTTAAGGACCAGAGCAACACTGGATAAATCCTCTAGTGGGAAATACACAAGCAATGCACTGCTCAGTTCCATCTGTGTGATGAAGGAATCAGTGTAAGATTTCTGTTTTTCCAGTGACTGCCATGTGCTGGTCTGGTTTAATAACTATAGAATATTTCTGAAGCTGAGTTTTATTCATTTTCTTATGTTATCACACAGGAAATGAAAAATTCCACACCATTGAAATATTATATAAAATCATGTATCCAAAGAATCAAGAGTAACAAGTATCATATCCATACATTTCTCACGGAATTAGTGATGATCACCGTGAACAAATCATCTTGTCTTTCAGAGTGAAAATAAAACATACTTTCTGTGGACAAGAGATGTTAGAAAACTATAAGCAGATCTTGTTTGCTTTCTTGTAGCATTCCTGTATTTATAGTATACTAAAAATTATCTTCTCTCTAAGCTGCCAAAAGTCCTGAATGCTACAAAGCAAAGTTGCACTACAAAGATAGACTTCCTGCAAGTTTACTAATGATACTGATTTCATTATAAATGTCATGCCAGAAAGCAAGAGAAGAGAGGAATTTCAGTTGAATTAATTTCTCCTGCTAGACTTTATGCTTCAGGAAAATGTGGCATTGTCTTCTGCAGTATCACAAAATGCCATTGAAATGTCATGTATTTCTGTAGCTTTTTTGCTTAAGACGGTCATTTGTACATTTTTATTTGCAATATTCATTGCTGTAATCTGTCAATGCTCATGTTCAGATCGTTTTTTGACACTGAGCATAGTACATAAATGTAGTGGAAATGACTATCAGTGGTTTTTGCAGCTGAGTTGGTTATACCCATCTTGATTAGGATTATGGCAAATGCAGAAGGGAGCTTTATGTGAGTAAGTGATTCAGGGCTGGGCCCATATAGAATAATTAATAGTGTTCAGAAAGCCCTCTCCTGTAGTGTCATTGGCAGTGGGAGAAAAAAAAACAAGAAAATGTGTGCTGATTGCATTGTGTTACTGGTAACTAGCATCAAGCCCGAAGTAACTGTCTGATACTTTACTCACAATCCTCTAATCAGTGCCCTGGCAAGGAAATACAGTAGAAAAGTAATTGATTTTACTCATGTCTGGAAAAATTATTGGAAAACTCATTAGTGACCTTTAAAAATATAATGTATTTTATGCTCAGACTTCACAATATCAAATTTTGCCCTGAGCAACAACAAGGTACTACTTTAAGGTAGCTGCCAGTTCTGCTAAAACTATCAGATTATATTAATTCAGAAAGCCAATCAGCAATTGAAATCTCTATGTGTGTTTCATAACAGAATGCCTGTGTCATCATTTGTTGTTGATCCCATCTGTAGAAAGTGGACTTCCCTTTGAACCATTTGAGCCATAACCCTGACTTGATGTATTTTCTAACTCTACATAATTTCTACATAAAATGTACGTGTCTTCAGACTCCTGGCCTATTTTTTCTCTCTGACAGCTCTTTCCATTCCTTGCCAAGAATAATAGTCAGATAGGAAACCATTTAATGCAACTATCATTTAAAAATATTAAGCCATTCTTTGTGTCCCAGAGCTTCCTCTTGGGAGAATTTTGTGGACAATCTCAACAGGAACTTTCCCACCAAGCAGGCAGTCTCTAAATGGCCATAGAAGAATTCACTGTTTCATTCTGCTAAGCTTACAATGAAAAAAATATTGCTGTGTAAATTAGGTAAATAAGATCACAATTTTTTACCATTTGTTCTTCTAAAATGATCATTTTTCTCTAACCACTAAGGCACAAATGTAGACTGCAATGAGCGGCAAAGACCAAAAATAGCTATACAAAATAATCCTACATCCAGGAAAATTGGAGTCCTTCTTTTAGTGTAAATGACTCTTCTTGAAATCTGAATTTCAATATTCCTTATTTTTGTTGTAAATAAATGTGAACAATAGAAATGAGGAGATACCACATTTGTGCTAACATAGAAAACTCTGGATCAAAAATAAGTAAGATTCCTCACAATAAGGTATAGTTAAAAACTATAATATTATTGCAGACATATCACTGTGTTTAAAAAAATTAGAGTATCAGATGCTTAAGGATTTTTTCAATCAATATAATTTCACCTCTTGACTTCATGTGACTCCTCTTCGTCAATTGAGTCATCCTAATATATGTTGAGATTGTCTCATTATTCATCTACAAAATCTGTTTTTTTAAACCCTGCAGTTCTTGCTTCTGAACAATAGAAAGAAAAGGACATACCTAAGAAAGAAAAATCTACAGAATCAAATCCTAGAATGAGATATCCAAAAGTTCATGAGAAAAATCCAAAAGTAATATCATAAAACATATTCACATACAACGCATGATTAATCAGATTCAAACACGAGAATCACAGTTTCAGATTTAAAATAATCATGATAAATAAATAAGCCAGAGGGAACACCAACGAAAAGCCAGTAAAACTGTCCTCCTCCATTCCCAAATCTATAAAGTTTTATTATCTCTCCCTTGTTATCATACTCAAGTTTAGTCATTCAGATGAAGATTACCAAATGGAAATGATAAAGTATCCCCCAAAAGCCATTTTCTTCTGTTTTTTCTTCTTTATTTAATAAAGCTTCTTGTCTGGAGATTTTCAGTCCAATTGTGCTCTGAAGAGATAAAGGTATTTTGATGCCAAAAGTCTGGATGCTTCTCTGAAATGAACGTAATGCTCTTTGGAGGGTCCAAGTATTTCTGATGGCCCATCATAATTCTGATAATGTACATTTCACATCCCCAGAAATAGCAATTTCTGCTCATAGTTAAAAGAAACCTGATTGACTTTAGTGGGGTTGCATAGGATGTGATTAAGGACAAAGTTTGGCCTAAAGAATGTAAGCAGAGATAAAATGCTGCAAAACTAAGATCAGATATTGCAAGCAAATAGAATACTGCAATATGCATTTTTCTCAAATCCCTCATCTCTGTAAGAACTTTAGATGTGAAAATTTCTTAATCAGTTGGCAATAATCATAACACTAGATTTGGTGACTGATTTACAAATGTAACTTTGTATTTTAGCCAAAATCTTTAATCAGATGTCTTTTCTGGGAGAGCAGTATGGTATATTATGTTCAAGCTGCTGAATCTAAGAATTTTATCTTGTACAGAAAAAAAAATATTATTAGAGAAACAGAGCACTATAATTTCCAATCAATATATTATATATATAATTTTCTTTTCAAATTATGGTAATTCTTTACACACATGTATGAGAACACACAATTGGCATGTCTTGCATGTAGAGTAAGTTTATTGTCAGAGCATAACTCATGAGAAAAATTGTTCCATAGAAAAGACAAATGGCTAGTTTTAGCATTTAGAAAGATGACATGAATGAGCTAATAGGTATCCAGTGAACTGAAAATAAATGACACAAGTCTTCAAGAAATTCAACTATTACCCATTGTGCACTTTTGATATAGTTGTGGCCCTTTTATATAATAACACTTCATAACAGGGATACTCAAGATCCATTATAACATGAGTCTTTTGTTGCTTTATTACAGAATATATACCATCTTTTCTAAATACCTGGATCACCATTAGAGTAAATGGTATCATCATAATTAGAATGGTAGATACTGTAAGTGCTTCTGCCAGTTCCTTGCCATCATTTGTCTTTAGACAGCTCATAATATATCTTGTAAGAACAAGTATAAAAGATATCTTCCTAGCCAGCTGTTTAATGTGAAATTAGACTTGAAATTCATCTATAATACTAGCTCTTAAATACTTAAAAGTAACGACCCTTTTGAAACTCTTCCATTTAGTGTATAAATACTATGAATGCTATCCATTTTGGCAGGCTCACTAACACCATTGAAGTCTGGATGTATTTGCAAGGTCCTAACTAGTCACCTTAACATATTTTATTACAGTATATTATGAAAGGCTAAGATACATGTGCAGAACTCTCTAAACTCTCTCTATGTTAAATGAAACCCTTTATAAGAAACCCTTATATCTGTTTAGCATAGTCACACTATAATACCACCCTCCATGTGTGTATCTCTTTTCATCTAAAAAGCTGAAAGCATTTTAAAAGATGACTAAATATCTTATTTCATATATGGGAAAACTGAGGCTCAAAGAGGTGACATGATTTGCTCAAAGTCACATCATGAGGCAGTAGTTGAGCTGGGACTTCAGCCTGAGTCTCATGACCTGAGCTGTGTGTCCAGGAATGAAGGGAGAGTGCCATGTCATAAAATAATTAATAGCTCACATCAGCAAATGTTGCTATGTACTGCTCATGGAGGCATATCCACTTGTGCTCTATAGAAATAATAATGGCATGTCTTTCCTGCTATGTCTTTTAAAGCGTAATCCATTTGTGGCCTGTTAAATTATTCATCTTAAAAATATTCTGGAATATAACTGTCCCTGTTATCAGAACCCTCTTCTTCCATTTAATGAGAAACATTTGAGGAAAGGAGCTGAATGGAACACAGAAGGAGTGGAGAAGGAGGAAATCTTATGACTGAAGGGCACGCACACAGAGAAATAGGTACAGAAGGTCCATTGAAAGCATTTCTAATGCTTTTTCTCTAGGGTTAGATTAGTTTTTTTATAATATGAATTGTTCTGGGCTCTTCCTTTCACCCACTAACACCTCCCAGGAGTAAGATGTTAATCTTCCTAGTGTTCTATGAAACATACCTATATAACTATTCCAAAAAATAATACTAAGCTTTTCACAGTGTACCTCCCGTCACACTGGTCTCATAGGGCAAGATCTACCACTTTGGAGGTATGGTCAGGTCCCTGATGTTGGGGAGGATCAGTGTTGCAATTAGTAGTTTATAACAGTGCCCTTTTTAGATGAGCAATAAAGTGAGTTCCAGAGCACATTTCTCTTCTCCCTCTCATTATCATGTAAAACTCTCTCTCCCGGTGCTGGAAGTAGAGCTCTGGGACAGCCTAAATCCCATTTTTTTTATCCTTTGCATGGCCTTGAGTAAAGATGGGCAGACTTTTCCTTTTTTCTAGGCAACTTTGCAAATCTCAGCACTAGAATTTTATTACACTACTGAAACAAGAGAGCAATATAGAAGCTTAGGGAATCATGCATGATATTGTGGTAGGTTAATACTTTAATTATGGTGAAAGCTGAATGACAAAACATGACATTTTCCCCAAATATATATATTAACATGACAACATTTTTAAATGGCAAGTTTTCTGGGCTACTTTGCCATTTTAGTTCCATGTGGTCTCCATTAATAATTTATTTACTGGGTGAAGAAAGGAAATATCCTCTGGTGTATTTAAAAGCACGAAATATTTGCAGTTCTTCCCAGGTCTATAAAGCAGAAGGAAATGCCATTAAATGACCATTAAATATATGACCTGTAATTTTATTGACTGGAACATGGTCTTTCTGGGTAATTGGCTGCACAAACAAGCAGTAGATGACATATTTCTGAAATGCTTTCTCTTTCAGCTGACTGTGGGGGACCATTTGAACTCTGGGAACCAAACACTACATTCAGTTCTAAAAATTACCCGAACAACTACCCTGACCAAGCCTCTTGTAAGTCTCCCTTTCCTCAGGTGTTAGTACAATTAAAATGGAAATAGATTATAGGAACTAAGTGCTGTGAGGAAGGAAAAGAAACCTTGATGTATAATTGGATGATTCTTAATTGAGGGCTATGTTGGCAGCTTGCCAAGAGACTAAGGTAGCTAGTTGATAGAGAAGACAACTTCATCCATTCTCAGTTTTGCTGAAGACACCACAGCTCTATGGGAGCCATAGCTTTTACATGCTGTATTTTTGCCTAATAACAGTGTAGGTAGCAACAGACCACTCTGGAGAACTCTATCTCAGCTTGATGTATCTGGCCTGTTGGCAGCCTTTTAAAATATTTTATATACAAGAAACATTTAGGTGTATTTTGTGTTTTTGACTGGAGAGTCTTCTCTCACAGTGATATAAATTAGGTCCACTGAATATACCAAGGTAAAACTGATGTAAGTGAAAGGAAAATCAGGCCCACAATGTTTTGATAATGTATAATATTTTCTGATGATGCTTGAAGTGAAGAAGAAAGCACTCATGTTGCTATTCACTTAAATTGGTTTTTGTTCAGTTGTTGTGAGAGAGCTATATAAATTTTCTGGTGTGCTAATAACATGAAACCAAATCCTGGGTTGTTTTGTTTTGTTTTTGTCACAATGGGGCAAAGTATCCTACTTTCAGACACTATTTCCACAAGATATTTAAGCACATACCTAATTTTAAGTATAGAAGTAGTTACATTGAGGTTACTGATAATGAAACCATGATTAAAGTTAGGCATGCGCTTAATTACCTTGTTGAATTGGAGTCTTAGGCTACGTCTACACTATGCACTTTGATGGAAGAGGCAATGCAAATGAAGCCCTGATTAGCATTTTCTCATGCTTCATTTGCATAATCTCTTCTGATCCATTTTTGTGCAAGAGGTTTTAGTGCAAAAACATGCAATGTGGACTTGTCCGTTTTGCGCAAAAACCCCTTTTTGCACAAGATCCTTATGCCTCTTGGGTATGCAATTTGTTCATATAATTTGTTTGTTTTCTGTAAAACAAATCTTTCCCTTCAGTACATGCCAAGATGCAAAGGCCTTTTCCATAGAAAGGTCATAATAGGATATAGGCTTCTTAATCACTTAGCTGCTTTTGAAAATTTTACCCAAGATCTTTTCCCTCATGACTATCAACATGCAAATACTCAAAATACAAAGCATGTGGTCTTTTTTTATTTGATTTTGTTGGTTTGAATTACTATTGTTTTCCAGGTATATGGTATTTAAATGCTGAAAAAGGGAAAAACATTCAACTTCATTTTCAATATTTTTACCTGGAAGATATCTATGATGTAGTTGAAATCAGAGATGGAAGAGGAAACAATTCTTTGTTTTTAGGCAAGTACTATATAATTGAATTATAAGATGAATGAAATCAAGGATGATTTGAGTGGTCTGATCATCATAACAGAAAAGGAGATACTTGTCTCTAAATTTTATCTATATTTTTGAATGATCCATGATATTTGGAAGTTAACAAGAAGACATGAGAATATTTTTACTTTGTGATCTTATCAAGACATATTCACATGCTTTAAATTTAAATGCAGTGTAGCTCAGCATACATGTAAATGTTGACAGGATCTACACTTCTGTTGCTATATTAGGGTATGTCTACACTACCCTCCTAGTTCGAACTAGGAGGGTAATGTAGGCATACCGTACTTGCAAATGAAGCCCGGGATTTGAATTTCCCGGGCTTCATTTGCATAAGCGGGGAGCCGCCATTTTTAAAACCCCGCTGGTTCGAACCCCGTGCAGCGCGGCTACACGGGGCACGAACTAGGTAGTTCGAACTAGGCTTCCTAGTTTGAACTACCGTTACTCCTCGTGAAATTCAAATCCCGGGCTTCATTTGCAAGTGCGGTATGCCTACATTACCCCGCTAGTTCGAACTAGCAGGGTCGTGTAGACATACCCTTAATGTGTCAGCACTAAAATATATACCATGCTTGTTATAAATACCTGTGAAGATGCAGGGGGCTTGCAAATAATTGCTACCCAGCATCTTTATTAATGACCTGGATGTGGGGATGGATTGCACCCTCAGCAAGTTTGCGGAGGACATTAAGCTAGGGGGAGAGATAGATATGCTGGAGGGTCCAGTGTGACCTAGACAAATTGGAGGAGTAGGCCAAAAGAAGTCTGAGAAGTTTCAACAAGGACAAATGTAGAGTCCTGAACTTGGAATGGAAGAACCCCAAATATTGCTACAGGCTGGGGACCAACTGCATAAGTGGCAGTTCTGCAGAAAAGGACCTGGGGATTACAATGGATGAGAAGCTATATATGAGTAAACAATATGCCTTTGTAGCCAAGAAAATGAATGGCTTTATTCGGTACTGGTGAGGCCCCATTTGGAGTATTGCATCCATTTCTGGGTCCCCCATTATTAGAAAGGATGAGGATGCATTGGAAAGAATCCAGCAGAGGGCAACCAAAATTATTAGGGAGCTGGAACACATGATTTATGGGGAGAGGCAAAGGAATATGGACTGATTTAGTCTACAGAAAAGAAGACTAATTTGATAGCAGCCTTCAACTACCTGAAGGGGGTTCCAAACAGGATGGAATGAAGCTGTTCTTGGTAGTCACAGATGACAGAACATGGAGTAATGGTCTCAAGTTGTGGTGGGGGAGGTTTAATATCAGATATTAGGAAAAACTATTTCACTAACAGGGTGGTGAAGCATTGGAATGAGTTACCTAGGGAGGTGATGAAATTGTCATCCCTAGTGTTTTTCAAGCTGGGAAGATTTAGTTGGAATTAATCCCGTTTTGATCAGAGGATTGGACTCGATGACCTCCTGAGATCTCTTCTAACCTATGGCTATGTGTAGACTGCAACACTTCTCTGGGATACCTCTGGTATCCTGGAAAAGCAATGCCACATCCAAGGAACGCGTCCAAGGAACACGTCCCAAAAAATGTTTGGAAAAGTGGACACATTCTTTCATCATCCTTGTAAACCTTGTTGGTTTTTCTGAAATTAGGCACCGTGTAGACGTGCCAAATTTTGGAAAAGCCTCTTTTGAAAGAAAAGTAGAAAAAGATATGCAAATTGTGTTTTGCAATTTGTGTATCTTTTCCTGACTTTTCTTTGTATTCTAGATCAGTGTTTCTCAATCAGTGGCATGAGTGCCTTTAGGGGTACTTGAAAGAAATCTGGGGGGGTACGTCAACATGACTGAAATTTGGAGAAAAATGAATTTTTGTTTTAAGTTTTATAGTTCTTCATTATTATTGTGCTTTTTACAACCAAAAATTTCATCGCCCTCCTGGCTACAATTAAATTGTTTAAACAAATGTCTTGCAATGGTAGAAAAAAATGGTGTATCTGAAAACTGTAAGTAAGTGGGGGTAGTTATAATATTTTTTTGAAAAATACTTTATAAAAAATGGTTGAGAAACACTGTTCTACACATAGTCTATGATTCTATGTTGCTTGCTCTTAATTTGAGTTTCTAATATCGTTCATCCTATGGCATCCTTCTAAATGAAGATCATCTAAACAGTGGTTCCCAACCTTTTTAAAACATGGACTGGAAAACACATTCACAAACTTTTGGTGGACCAGGAATATTTTATTTGCATATTCATTATCCAAATAATGAATATGCAAATGTGAAAATAAATGTTACCAGTCTGCCGCCCCCAGACTCCCTTCAGTGCCAGCCCTAACCCTTAGATCCCCCCACCTTTCCACTGCCCCCCCAGTGCCAGCCACTGATCCCAGAGTTCCCTGCACGCAAACTCCTGCCCAGTGTCAGCCTCCTGTTTCCAGAGCCGCACTGCAACCAACCCAGGGCCTCCTCCAGTGCCAGCACCCAGTCCCCAATATTAGCCTTGTCACCAGAGCTCCCCCCCATGCTAGCTCTGCCCTTATAGATCCCCATTACTAGCCTCACCTCTAAAACCTCCAGTGCCAGCTCCCCACCCTTAGAACCCACCAGCATTAGCCTTGCCCCAGAGCCCCGTCTCTTAGAGCTCCCCAATACTATCCCCACCCCCAGAGTCTCTCAGTATTAGATTAATCCCCAGAACCCCCTGGCCAGCCCCTGGCAAG